TATATATGTATATATATATATAAAAATATATGTGTGTGCGAAAAAAGACACGTTCCCCTAGCCAAAAAATCTATGCTTGCCTCTTGGGGCCCTCCTGGGGGGCCTCTGGGAGCGTCACAGGAGACGTCTGGGAGGCCTCTTGGGGTGTCTTGGGGGCCATCTTGTGCGTCTCGGAGCGGCCTGTGCGACTTGGAGCGACCTGTGGGCGTCGCGGGTCCCTTATTGGCGCGTCTTCGGGATCTCTTAGCGCTTTTTGGTGGCATTTTGTAGGACTCTGGGGCCCCCCAAGGGCCTGCACACACACACACACACACACTTGCGGTAGAGGTCGCGGCCCCGGGGCCTGGGCCCCGGTGCGCCGTTATATGTATGTTCAAGATATGCAGCGAAACGCACGCATGCATGCATGCATGCATGCATTTATATGTACGTTAAAGATATGCAGCGAAACGCGCGCATGCATGAATGCATGCATGCATGCATACACACACACACACACACAAATGCCTGAGAGAACGCGTTTCGTGGACGCTTGCCTGGAAAAACACGTTGACACATTGGAACAGGGGGGGGCCCAAAACATTGAGCGCCCCTGCAGAACCGAGGGAAAGGGCCCCTCCCCCTCGACACCAGCCTCCTTAACTGGGGGAGAGCCCCCCCCCCAAAGGGAGGGGGATCGAACAGGGCCCTCCCCCCCCTGTCCAAAGGGGTGCGGGGGTTCGAACTGGGAGGGTCCCCCCTCCCCCCCCGACTTTTGCAAGAAGGGGGGTTCGAGCCAGGTGCGTGCTCCCCCCCCCCTGTCCAAAGGGGGGAGGGGCTAGAACCCCGGGAAGGGCCCCCCACACCGAGGTGGGTTCGACCCGGGGAGGGAGGCCCCCCCAGAATCACAAAGGGGAGGAGCTTCGAACCGAGCCGCATCCGCCCCCTGTGCGCGTCGTCGTCGTCGCCCGTCGCCGTCGCCGTCCCCGTCGCCGCCGTCGCCCGTGGCCGTCGCCGTCCCCGTCGCCGTCGTCGTCGCCCTCCCCGTCGTCGTCGCCCTCTCCGTCGTCGACGCCGTCGTCATCGTCGTCATCGCCGTCGTAGTCGTCGGCGTCGTCCGTCCTCTGTCATCGTCGTCCGTCCTCCATTGTCGTCTTCGTCGTCGTCGTCGTCGTCGCCGTCGTCGTCACCATCGTCGTCGTCGTCGGCGGCGGCGGCGGTCGCCGTCGCCGCCGTCGCCGTCGCCGTCGCCGTCGCCTTCGCCGTCGCCGTCGCCGTCGCTGTCGTTGTCGCCGTCCCCGTCGCCGCCGTCGCCACCGTCGTCGTCGTCGTCGCTGCCCGACGGCGCCGGCACCGGCGCCGGCGCTCGCCGTGGCAGGTAGCAGGGGGGGGGGCCTCTCCCGGTTCGAATACTCCCTCCTGCAACTCAGGAGGGTGGATGGCCCTGTGCGCGTCGTCGTCGTCGTTGTCGTCGTCACCATCGTCGTCGTCGTCGGCGGCGGCGGCGGTCGCCGTCGCCGCCGTCGCCGTCGCCGTCGCCGTCGCCTTCGCCGTCGCCGTCGCCGTCGCTGTCGTTGTCGCCGTCCCCGTCGCCGCCGTCGCCACCGTCGTCGTCGTCGTCGCTGCCCGACGGCGCCGGCACCGGCGCCGGCGCTCGCCGTGGCAGGTAGCAGGGGGGGGGGCCTCTCCCGGTTCGAATACTCCCTCCTGCAACTCAGGAGGGTGGATGGCCCTGTGCGCGTCGTCGTCGTCGTTGTCGTCGCCGTCGCCGTCGCCGCCGCCGCCGCCGCCGCCGTCGCCGCCGCCGCCGGCGCTCCCCGTCGTCGTTTGCAGGGGGAGGCCGCCCCCGTCGTCGCTGCCCGACGGCGCCGGCGCAGGACGGCGCCGGCGCCGGTGCTCGCCGTCGTCGGTTGCAAGGAGGGGGGGCCTGTTCCAATTCAACCCCCCCCCTTCCGCAACTCGACGGGGGGGGCCTCCCCCCCGGTTCGGAGCCCCTCCCGCTGAACAGAGGGGGGGGTGGCCCCCTCCCAGTTCGAATTCCCTCCCTCCCTTGCCACCCCCCTCTGTCTATCATCACAACAAGGTTTTTTGTTAGCGGCTCACTTCTGATTGTCACGCTATGGTTCATCAGCTTTGTCATTATAATTGTATTATTTTGTTTACCCATCACCTGGTCATTCACTACTTAATTCTTTATAAAGTCCTGCATATCCTTCTCATCTTTCTAACAGCTCTTCTGCATTCCTCTCATAACAGCGCCCCGCAATTACAATATTGTCGCAACAGCCTTTACAAAAGGATTCCTTTTGTGGCGACCTCATAGAAGGGTTGTATCGTGGAGGATCTGCAGTGGCCTCCACAATTAAGAATCCTCTCATAGCAGCTTTTACAAAGGAATTCCTTCTGTGGCAACCTTCCGAGAAGGATTCAAAATGTGGGGAATATGCAGTGGCCTCCATACTAAAAAACATGTTGTAGTAGCCTGTGCAAAAAAGGATTTCTCTTGTGGTGGCCTTACAAAAAGGTTCTAGGTGTGGGCGATCTGCAGTGGCAGCACCTTGAGCCCAGGAAAACTAAATAAGAAAAAAAGCAAAACAGCAAAAACCATAAAAAGTCGTTGCTTTCACCATGAAACATGAAAAATCTGACAACCTGTGACTGTCGGTATCTTTATGGTGCAGACGCTCCACACTTAAAATTATTGTAGCGGCCGTTACAACAGGATTCCTCGTGTGGCGACCTTACAACAGGATTTGAAGTGTGGGGGATTTGCACTGCCTCCACAATTAGAACCCTTGTGCAACAGCCTTTCGAAAAAGGGAATCCTTGTGTGGCGGCCTTACAAAAAAGGTTTCAATTGTGGAGGGATCTGCAGCGGCGGCACCTTGAACCCAGGAAAGCTAAAGAGGAAAACAGGAAAAACAAGGAAAACTGAAAAAAACCTGTGCTTGCACAAAGTAAAAAAAAATAGAAAGTTAGGGAAACCTGTGACTGTCGGTACTTCTACGGTGCAGACAGCCCGCTAGTAAAATCCTTCTGGCAGCCTTCACAAAAAGATTCCTTTTGTGGCGACCTTGTAAAAGGATTTTTGCGCGGGATCTGCAGTGGCCTCCACAATTAGAATCCTCTCATAGCAGCCTGTACAAAGGGATTCATGTAGTGGCGACTTTACAAAGGGATTTAAACTGTGGGGGATCTGCAGTAGCCTCTACACTTAAAGCCCTTGCGTAACAGCCTTGACAAAGGGGTTCCTTTTGTGGCGGCCTTACAAAAGGGTTCAATTGTGGGCGGATCTGCAGTGGCGGCACCTTGAGCCCAGGAAAGCCACAGAGGAGAACAGGAAAAAACAGAGAAAACAAGAAATCATCTGTGCTTTCACAGGGAATCCTGGAAAAAACTACGACAACCTGAGACTGTCGGTACTTCTTAGGGTGCAGACGGCCCACTGGTGAAATCCTTGTGTAGCAGCCGTTGCAAAAGGATTCCTTATGTGGCGACCTTAAAACAAGATTTATGTGTGGGGGATCTGCACTGGCCTCCACAATTAAATCCCTTCATAGCAGCCTGTACAAAGGGAATCCTCTTGTCGCGGCCTTACAAAAAGGTTTCAAGTGTGGGAAGTCTGCATTGGTGGCACCTTGAACCCAGGAAAGGTATCTCTTTCTCGTAATCAAGGCTAAATCAGGAATAGGTTGGAACATCATGACCCTGGGACTGAGCGCGACCCGCTCCCCTGCCCAAACCGAACTGACCAAACTAGATGGACCCGCGCTGTCTCGGCCACGATCCCTCGCAAACAACAGTGGGTGTCCGAGGTCCCGACACACGAAGACCCTTCGTAAAAATGACCCTGTCGGCGTGTGTGGAGGCTCTTCCGTTTAGGTCGTCGTCGTCGCCGCCGCTCCCCTCCCTTGACGCCTTTCCGTTTGAGCTGTCGTCGTCGCCGTTGCCGCTCCCCGCCTGTACATGGGCCCAGCTCCTCAAACGTTCCAGCCAGAGGGAAATCGAGCAACGTCGCAGTCGAATCGAAGGGAAGCCCCTTCCCTTTGATCCCTCCCCCGCCTGGGAGGGGGAGGGTCCCTGGCAGGGGGGGGAGTCCCGCGGGGGGTCTGGGGGGGGGGCGGGATTTATGGCCACCCCTCAGAGGGGCGCACTCCTCCCTGGGAGAGGCGTTCCCCTTCGCTTTCTTGCCTCTCGGAGGCCTCGGGCTCACTTGCACCGAGTGCTCCGGAGAGGGCCCTGAAGCAGCCCAATATCGCTCCAGCAGCCCAAGTTGCCCTCAAGACGGCCTCAGAAGCCCCCAAAAGACGCCCCCACAGGGCTCCAAGAGAAGCCTCAAGGGCCCCAAGATGCGAAGACGTAGTGTTTCTATGCTTCTCGCGTCATCGCCCTTTCGGGCTTCCGGCGCTCGCACCAGGACGGTCCAAGAGGCTGCCGAAAGCGCCCGAAGATAACCCACGACAGCCCCAAGACGTCCCAAGACGGCCTCAAGACCGCCCAGGAGGCCTCCAAGGCGGCCGAATCGGGCCCCACGAGGACCCCAAGAGGCTCCCGAGAGGGAACACCGACCGACCACCGAACAGGGCCCCAAGAGGGCCCCAAGAGAGCCCAGAGAGGCCCCAAGAGGCGCCCAGGAGGCCCCCATGAGGCCCGAGAGGCCCAAGAGAGCTCAAAGAGTATTCCCAAGACAACCCTCAGAGGGTGAACTCAATAATGCTCCCTGAGCTCTTGCATGTTTCTCGTCGTCGTCGCCGCCGCCGTCGTCGTCGTCCCCCTTCAGGGTCGGCGGCACCAGCCGTAAAGGCCCTCAAAACGAACACGATGCCGAGGTCCCAAGGCCACGACCCCTCGTAGCATGCCGAGGCTCCGCGCACGCGAAAGCCACGATCCCTGAAAGAGCAGCAGCTCTGCGCTCCCGAGAGGCCACGGGCCCCCGCGAAGAGCGGCGGGACCGCACCCCCGAGGCCACGATCCCCAAGACGACCACTGAGCCCGTGCTCCCGAAGCCGCGATCCCTTGCAGAACATGCGGGGCCGCGCTCCCGAGGCCGGGATCCCATGGAGAGGTATAGATCCGCGCCCCCAGGGGAACGATCCCTGGTAAAGTGCCGGAGATCCCCACTCCCGGGGGGGCACGGTTCACTGCTACATACAGACAGCGTCCTCGATCCGAATCCGCCAACCAAAAAACCAATCAACTCCCCCACCTGCCAACCAGCCAGCCAGCCAGCCAACCTGTCAACCATCCAGCCAGACAACCAGCCCATCAGCAGAAAAGCCAACCTGCCAACCAGTCGGCCAGTCAACCAATCAACCAAAAACCCTCCCATACATCAGTCTATCGAAGGGGGGCCGCAGAGAAAGACGTACCGCATAGTATTAGTGACTAGTATTGGTGGTGGTAACGTGCGTGGTGGAGGTGGCGATAATGGATTTGGTTGTGGAGTCAGTGGTCGTGGTGCTCGATATGGCAAGCGTGCTGAGGGTGGTATTGCCCAAAACTGTGCGGTGACAGACCGTGCGGTGACCTCGAAATCCCAAGAGACCTCACAGCACGGTCCGTCGCCAAACGGTTCGGGGACCTCAGAGGCCCCAGTCGCCCGAGACGTCCTCGGAGAACGACCGCGGGTCCCGAAGCCGTGCGGTCGCTCCGGATCCCCACTGCCTCACCGCGCGGTGCTGTCACTGCCCCGTCTGGAGGCGCGGTGCCAGAAAGGCATCAGCGAGCCTGCACGACGGGCGGCGAGCATCCATTAGACTTAGGTCGGGCATGTCCTCCCACAGGCGGATTCTGGAAGAAAACAAGACATGGCACAAACATAACAAACATAGCACGAAACAGCGTCACCTGACGATGTGTTTTTACCATGCTTGAGCGTTCCTCCTGTAGAGGGCTATGCCCAACTCCAAATCAGGCCCCCGAGTCCTCAACATCCATCATGCGGTCCTCCTCGCTTGCTTACCATTTTCGAACGTTCCTCCTGGAGAGGGCCATGCCCGACTGAAGGTTAGGCCCCCGAGTCCTCAACGTCAATCATGCGGTCCTGCTCGCCGGCCTCGTCGAGCATGGGGCGGGCGCTCGAGGGCTCCTCCCAGGGGGGGAGAGCCTGGGCCTCTCTGCCCATTGAGTGGGGGACAACGACAGGGGGGAAATAGAGACAGGGGGGGGGAAAGGGGGAACATCGACCTGGAATCGGCGATACATCGCCGATCGATCGGCGATAGGCCTCCGATAGTGAATCCGCACCTTCCTGGGCAGGTTGCGGCTATCCCCTATCGGCGATCAATGGGCGATTTGGGGTCGATGCATCCCCCCCTGTGCCTGTCCCCCCCTATCGTGGCCCCCGATTGAGGCAGCAGTTCGCTCAGGCCAGTCCTCCTACAGGCGGATTTTGGAAAAAAACAAGAGGTTGTCGAACAATCATCAAAAATAGTCAGAAGAGCACAGAGAATTGTCACTGGACTATTTTTTACTATTCTTGAGCATTCCTCCTGTAGAGAGACGTGCCCGACTTAAGACAACAGGGGTAGGGCTCAGATGCGGCCAGCTTTTCCAGCGTAGGAGTGCGCCACCCACTCACCTAACACCGAACCTGGCCAGGCCCATGCTTGCCGGGCTGAACCCAAACGTCGTTTTTCGGTCTGTACTCGTTCTGCTGTTTTGTCTTGCTCCTGCCTGCTTCCCTGGCCGAAGTCCAGCAAACTGGCGCCTGGGTCCAGCCCCGAGGGCACACGCCCTCCTGACCCCGGAGGGCACACACTGATATTCTCTGGGCGGTGCTTGCACTCGATGGCCTGTGCTCCTGAGCTGAGGAGCTAGGCCTGTCCGTTGGTCTGGCGGCTGCGCGGGTGCCCTCGCCGCCTCGTGGCCGCCGATCTTCTGGGCCCGCCCGTCGGTCTGGCAGCTGTGGTCGACGTCGCCGCCCCGTCGCCGTCTGGGCCTGCGTTGCCCTGCATCGCATCGCGCTACGGTGCACTGCATCCCACTGGCGTGTGCTAGTTACTCCAGATTTCGTCATAAAAGGGAGGGGGTCTGGGTCCTCCAAGACAGGCCATTTCAGACCCCCCATGTGGGAGAACCCTCCAAAACATCGTCCCCAGACCCCCCCAGGCCCTCCAAGATAGCCTGGAAGAGACCCCCCCGAAATGAGACCCCCCGCCCTTTATTACGAAATCTGGAGTACCTTGCATCGCATCGCGTTACTGTGCATTGCATCCCACTGGCTTGTGCTAGTCAAGTTGCGTTGCGCTGCACTGCTCTACATCGGCTTGCATTTGATGTGCACTGTTGTGTCTTGCTCTGAACTGCTCTGCACTGCAGTGCTGTGGACTGTGTTGCATCACGTTGCATGGCGTTGCATTGCTGTCCATTGCGTTGCACCACATAAACTGCGTCACACGGATTGCACCACCTAGATTGCACTCCATTGATCGCACCACCTAGATTGCACCACACATCCATTGCAAAAAAACACGGTTTAGGGTCCACGCTGGCTAACATATACGTATGTGTAAATATGAATATGTACAGACATACGCGCATCTATACATGTATAGGTGTCTATATATATATATATGTATACATATAGAGTTATGTAAATATGTGTGTATGTTTATAGCTATGTAGATTCGCCACCGTGCCTCTGGGCATGGAGTGGGCGTGCCCTCAGGTCCATTCACGAATCCTCGAAGCCGAAATCCTCGCTCCTGAGGCTTCTCACGGGGCCCAGAGCCCAAAAATGCCAAACCTCCCTGGGCTTCCCGCGTGCACCACCTCGGGACGTGGCTCGGCTCCCCGCGCGACTCTGTCGGAGCCACACGGGCCCCCAGAAGGGCCAAGAGGCCCGCAGAAGGCCTTCCAGATGGCCCAAGGGGGCTCCAAGTCGCCGAAAGAACACCCCACGACGCCCAAGATGGAATCAGCACGGTCCAAGAGGCCCCCGAGGCGGCCCAAGGGAGCTCGAAGAGGCCTCCCAAGAGGGCCCCAAGAGGCCAAAATGATGGATGTTCCGTTGGATTTTGAAGGTGTTTGACCGTCTCGCCTTTTCGGCTTCGCGACGCACCAGGGCGGCCCGAGAAATCTCCAAGACCGCCCCAACACGGCCCACGAGGCCCCCAATAAGCCCCCCACCAAAAAATGCGCCCCCGAAGGCGCTCCGAAGAGACCCCGAGAAGCACCCCGAGAACTCTGACCTACAACCCCGGCACGGTGGCGGGATGGGCCGAAGGCTATGAGACACACCGATCCTGGTCTCAGTATCGGCCTGGCCATGATCGGTGTACCCATCGGTCGGAAGAACTACGTAGGTAGAAACATGAACTAGGAAGGCGTTGAAAACAGATTGGGCTCCGTCCGCCCCCTTGGGAGAACGGAAAAGGCAAAGCCACTCGATCATTGAAGTAGAAAGGCGCTTAAATTGGCGGCGCGCAAAAGGGGGTAGGGGGAGGGGGGAAGGCTTCTTAGAAGCACCCTGCTTCTTAGAAGGCCTCGGCCTTACGTCTATAGAGAAGGCCCGCGCCTTCTAAGAAGCAGGGGTGCTTCTAAGAAGCCTTCCCCCCTCCCCCTACCCCCCTCTGCGCGTTGCCGATTAAAGTAGATTAGAATAAGGAATCCAAGAATACCTAATTTCAACGACCGATGGGTCAGTGTACAGGTGGCGCCCTCCGACAGAGAGCCCCCGCCAAGCGGGCGAGGAGGATCTGCTCCGTGCCCCCGCGCCTGCCCTCCACCCAGCCACCCACGCTCCCTCCTCCTCCTCCTCCTCCTCCTCCTCCTCCTCCTCCTCCCTCCTCCTCCCCCTCCTCCTCCTCTTCCTCTTCCTCTTCTCTTCCTCCTCCTCCTCCTCCTCCTCTCCTCCTCCTCCTCCTCCGCCTTCTCCTCTTCCTCCTCCTCCGCCTCCCTCCTCCTCCTCATCTCATCCTCCTCCTCCTCCGGCCTCCTCCCTCCTCCTCCTCCTCCGCTCTCCTCCTCCTCCTCCTCCTCCTCCTCCTCCTCCTCCTCCTCCTCCTCCTCCTCCTCCTCCTCCTCCTCCTCCTCCTCCTCCCCCTTCCATCACTAGAGGGCAGAAAAAAAACACCCTCATAAAAGCGCCCCGCAGCGCGAATCCGCGCAGCAAACGCACCCGTGGGTGGCATCGAGCAGGACAGGGCTGCTCAGTAGATGCCCAAGTCCGTTGAGGAAACGCCAAGCGTGGGGATCGGGGAGGCCGCTCCTCCCTCTCACCACAGACGGACGGAATACGTCATCATAAAAAACCCTCGCAGGTCCGCGCGGTTTCCGTGGACCGCCGCCGAAACCGCGGAGAGCGCGCCCCGGGCGGCGATGGGGGCGCCGCCGGTCTGTGGGGGTCCAGCACAGGTCCAGGAAATCTGTGCGGACCCTCGAAGGTCTGTGTGGGTGTGCTTCTTCGGCTCACGGAGGAGGCGGCGGAGCAGACTTCTGTGCCCCGGGGCCTCTGGAGAAAGGAGACACTGCCTAAACACAAATTCTCGGAGGTCCGCGCGGTTCTCTTGGAACGGCACTGGGCCCCCTCCCTGGCGCGCTCCACGCGCCAGGGGCGGCGCCAGAGGCGCTGCCAGGGGGCCCCAACGCCGACCCAAGAAATCCGCGCGGACATCTGAGAAATGATGCTCATGCCGTTTCTTGTGATGCTCGAAATTCGCTTTCCTGGAAAATCCTCTGTGGTGGCCATGCCTCCTCATCCTCATCCTCGTACTCCTCCGCCTCATCCTCGTCCTCCTCATCCACATCCTCATCCTCATCCTCATCCTCGTACTCCTCCGCCTCACCCTCACCCTCCTCATCCTCATCCTCGTCCTCACCCTCCTCATCCGATCCACATCCTCATCATCATCCTCATTGTCATTGTCGTCCTCGTCCTCCTCCTCCTGACGGGTCCTCTGCGGTGGCCTCTGTGGCGGCCATGCCCCCGCGAGGGCGATCCGCATAAAAAAGCCCCCCCAAGAGGGCCTCCGCGGGAGGGCCTCCCCCCTCGGGGTCGCGCCACGGAGCCGAAAAGGCTGCAGAGGGAGGAGGCAGGGGGAGAGGTGAGGCGCCTCCGCCTCCTCCTCCCTCGCCTCCTCCGTGTCCTCCTCCATCTCCTCCTCCTCCTCCTCCTCCTCCATCTCCTCCTCCTCCTCCTCCTCCTCCTCCTCCTCCTCCTCCTCCTCCTCCTCCTCCTCCTCCTCCTCCCTCCATCCCTCCTCCTCCTCCTCCTCCGCCTCCTCCCTCCTCCTCCTCCTCCTCCTCCTCTCTCCTCCTCCTCCTTCTCCTCCGTCTCCTCCTCCTCCTCCTCCTCCTCCTCCTCCTCCTCCTCCTCCTCCTGATTACGCTTCGCCTCGTTTTCTTATTAGTAAAACGTATGCGTGATTATGAGTGCTACTGATCTTGCTCGCCTTCAAAATAATGGCAGTGCGAATGATAGAAATAATCACCCTATGATATGCATTAGTAAACACTCGAGTCACGTTGCTATGGTTCGTAATACTAATGTTACTACGACCATTGACACCAGTGCTGATAGTAGATAAGATTATTCGTGCTAGCCGTTCAAGAATAACGAGCCGTAATGTCACGCATCTTATTCGTAGTCGAAATAATACTCAAATGCCTATTGTTAAAGGTATGGACCGTAATATTCGTAGTACTCTTCTTACTGCTACTGTTGAAATATTTAGTGGTGTTAGTACTATTCATCCGCCTCCTCCTCCTCCTCGCCATCATCATCATCATCATCATCATCATCATCATCATCATCATCATCATCATCATCATCATCATCATCAGCATCATCATCATCATCATCATCATCATCATCATCATCATCATCATCGTCGTCATCATCATCACCAGCATCATCATCATCATCACCACCACCACCCCCCTCCTCCTCCTCCTCCTCCTCCTCCTCCTCCTCTCCTACTCCTCCTCTCTCCCCTCGTCTTCTCTCCTCCGGTGCTTCCACCGCCTCCTCCTCCTCCTCCTCCTCCTCCTCTCTCCTCCTCCTACTCGTCCCTGCTCCGTCTCTCGGCCTCCTCCTCCTCCTCCTCCTCCTCCTCCTCCTCCTCCTCCTCCTCCTCCCCTCTCACTCTCCGCCTCCTCCTCCTCCTCCTCCTCCTCCTCCTCCTCCTCCTTCTCCTCCCCTCCCCCTCCTCTCCTCCTCCCTCCTCCCCTCCTCCTCCTCCTCATTCCTCCTCCTCCTCCTCCTCCTCCCTCCTCATCATCATCATCAATCATCATCATCATCATCTCATCATCATCATCATCATCATCATCAATCATCATCATCATCATCATCATCAGATCCGCTCCGCATCCTCTCCTCATTCCCTCATCTGTTCGCATCACATCATCCATCATCATCATCTCATCATCATCATTCTCATCATCATCATCATCATCATGAATCATCATCATCATCATCATCATCATCATCATCATCAGCATCATCATCATCATCACATCCCATCATCATCACATCATCATCAATCATAATCATCACATCAGAATCAGCAGCAGCTCATCATCATCATCATCATCATCATCATCATCATCATCATCATCATCATCATCATCATCATCATCATCATCATCATCATCATCATCATCATCATCATCATCATCATCATCATCATCATCATCATCATCATCATCATCATCGTCGTCATCATCATCACCAGCATCATCATCATCATCATCAGCATCATCATCAGCATCATCATCAGCATCGTCATCATCATCAACATCATCATCAGCATCATCAGCATCATCAGCATCATCATCCTCAGAATCATCATCAGCATCATCATCATCATAATCATCATCATCACCACCATCATCATCATCATCATCATCAGCATCATCATCATCATCATCATCATCATCATCATCATGATAATCATCAGCATCATCATCATCATCATCATCATCATCGGCATCAGTATCATCATCATCATCATCATCATCATCATCATCGTCATCATCATCATCAGCATCATCATCAGCATCATCATCATCATCAGCATCATCATCAGCATCATCATCATGATCATCATCACCATCATCATCATCATCATCATCAGCCGTTGCATCCTCCGCCTCCTCCGCCTCCTGCCCCTCGTCGTCTCCTCCTTTCTCATCCTCCTCCTACTCCTCCTACTCATCCGCCTCCTCCTCCTCATCATCGCCATCATCATCAGCATCATCATCATCAGCAGCAGCAACAGCATCATCAGCATCATCATCATCATCATCATCATCATCCTCATCATCAGCACCATCATCATCATCAGCATCATCATCATCAGCAGCATCAGCATCATCAACCTCATCATCGTCGTCGTCGGCAGCGGTGGCGGCGTCGGCGTCGTCGTCGGCATCAGCATCATCATCAGCATGATCATCATCAGCATCATCATCAGCATCATCATCAGCAGCATCATCATCATCGTCGTCGTCGTCGTCATCGGCGGCGTCGTCGACATCGTCATCAGTATCATCAGCAGCAGCATCATCATCACCGT